GAAAGTAAAAGCAGAGAAAGGTACAAAACAAGCTTTATTTGCATCTGCTACTTTTCTCTGTGGGGATAAAATGACTTTTCATGTCCTTTATGAAAGTTTACTTTGGAAAATGTCACAAAGGGACCGCGAGAAGGCAGTTATGTAAGTGCTGTGGACATGGAAATGCAGTGGCGTTGGTTTGAAATAATTACTTCAGCACCTTTTAACTTGTTTGCTGTGCTAAAGAGAAACACACGATTTACATAAAAGAATCACTTCAAACTAAGAAGTACTGTAATTTCCGGACTATTGTGCACACCTGAATATAAACCCCACCCACTACATTTAAAAAGAAAATAAATAAGTGCACATATATAGGCCGCAAGTTATTTTCTATAAAACCTTAAAAAAATCATTTATAAAATACAATTAGCTAAACCTTAGAACAAAGAAAACAAATCCCTCTTCTTCGCTAGTAGTTAGCCGCACACTGGCTAAAAAACTGACATATATGGGTTAAAATAGCTACAGTCCTGTACAACGTAAAACCAAACGTTTGACCTTGTAATTTGAAATTAAGAGTAGTATTAGCTTAGCTTGAAGGAAAGTTCGAGCTTCAGATTTAAAGGTAAATTAAATTAAAAGTTATTCCTTTATTGACTTTCCTGTTGAGAATAAACAATTCACGCAAAGATCTCTTGAAATAACACTTTTGGTTGACATAAAAACAAATTCATTTTTTGCAAAGAAAAATCAACACAATTAAATTAGAGTTCAGCTCTGAGTCAGAAAATCAGAAAGGTCCGTCAGTGCTGTGCTGTGTGTTTTTGTAAAATGGTCCAAAGTTGTTCGGCTGTTAGCCTCTTATTAACAGAATGGAGAAATAACTGACTGGTTTTCCAAAAGCTGGCAGTGACAAGTCGCCTGGTACTGTTGCTAACCAGTGTAACTACAGGTAGTTGTTACTGTAGCAGTACTGCTATTTACTGTAGCTTTTAACTGCTCCTGAAGCGGTTAGCTGCCGAAGCTGCGATTTCTACTCTGCCTTAAAATGGCTTCCAGAGCTAATGTGGCTAGCGTTGGAGCTAACTGGTACAGTAGCTACAAAAGCTTGTTTGCTAAGCTGTTGTGGCCGCTACCGTCTTTATTTTAATGACTTCTGTTTGTCCATTTTTATGAGCAAGCTCACCAAGCTCCGTACGAAGTAGGTTTAATAAATCAGTATTTAAAATTCTGTCCACAGAGAACAGAGAGAGGACAGGATCTGAGGTTAATGGAGGCTCACAGACTGAGATAAAGTTGAACACCGATGCTTCTTCATCCGTTCAGACGCTTCATTTACAAATGAAACCACAGTGGGACCTGATTAATATTCCAGTGGGATGAAAGTACTAAAACATTACAACGCCGCTCTTTGCAGTTAATTACACTCATTGTTCTGCAGGGGGAGTTTTAAATCGAGTCACTTCACAGCAGGTGTGTTTTTTTTTTGTTTTTTTTACGTGGATGTAATAAAAGTCTGCACCTTAATTTGTTATACTAAACTAATTGCTTTTTTTTCCTGTGACTTACAGAGAAAGAGAACTATTTGTTTTATCATATCGACCGGGTTTCAGACCAGTGTCTCTAGATCCTTGTTGGTTTTCCAAATCTTGTCAATCAGAGAGAGGTGGATTTAAAGCTTCTTTTTTCCTACAGTATGTCCACAGTCATATTCCATTGGAAGCCACTTACCGTGCCCCACCCAGGGAGGGGCGCCCCACTATTTGAGAAGTACAGTGGAACCTCGAGATACGAGGATAATCCGATCCAGGACCGAGCTCGTATCCCGAATCATGTTTTCCCATAAGAAATAACAGAAAAAAAATTCCGGCCCTCTAAAAAACTCTCTTATTAGTGCTAATAACAATTGAAAAAAATGATAATATATGAGGATTCCTGTGATATAAAATAAAATGTGGTTTTAATTATGAGTTCTTACCTTCGAGATGGACGATACGGTAGCAGCTAATGGCAGCATGTGCGGAGGAGGAGGAGGAGGAGGAGGGAGGAAAGGGGGAGACGCAGACACTTCTAACATAAATGTTTTTTCTTTTTTACTTTTTTTACTTCTCTACTTTTTTTTTTCGATTTGTATTCTTTCTTTAGCGGGCACCACACTCATATTTATCAACAATTGTAATAATAATGCTTTATTTCCACAGTCATCACGCGTTTCTTCTTCTCACTACCATCCTTACCACTCACTTTCTTAGGACTCTCACGTAGACTAAAATCACGTAGATAATGCAAACACAATACGGAAGACTCGCGGGAGATGCGTCGGCGTCTGTAAGCGTGCTCGTATCTCAAATCTTTACTTGTATCTCAAAGCAAAATTTAGCTTGAAGGCTTAGTCGTATCTCGAGGTTCCACTGTAGTGAAAATAAGAGAATTTACCTCCAAGCATACAGTTGTTGATTATGTAATCATTTGTGATTTCATTGTACAGTTGTTGATTATGTAATCATTTGTTTCTTTATTCTTGATTTCTTTATCCTGAATCCTTTTGAACACTTGTTCTTCGATGAAAAAAAAAAAACCCATCTTAAGGAGTCAGTGCCAGACCCACAGCTCCTGTGCTCAGTTAAACTGCTGACTCTCCTAGTAGACTTCAAAATGGGAGACTCAGCCATTTCCAACTTTCTGAAATTGATGCGTGACACCTTCCTTCGTCTTCGCGGGTTACTGAATGATCTGTGGCGACCCTTTTCGCAGCTCTGTTGCTAAAATCTTTTGAAATATTCACCGACTTGTGCCGACGGAGTAGGAGGTGAAGCCATGTTGGTTCACGTATCAGAAAAGAAATGTGACCTGAGTGTGAAAAAGAAAATTGCAGCAATTTGAATTCAGTGCACACGTCAGAGAGTTTCAGTCAGAGGGAAAAATCTTTGTCTCAGTGTTTCTTTAACCCACCAGGGAGGTGGAGGGAGGTGTTAATGGAGTTGGGATTTCTACTCTGTTCCGTGTTAAATCCTGCAGACGTGACTTATCACAGAGTTCAGGTTTATTACTTTTTACTTATTCGAACCCACAGACAAATCAACTCTCTGCTGCTCTCACGTAAATACTTAACCTAACGTACTCTCTACAGGTGCACTCACACTGCGGCCGCACCGCGTCCGAACTCGATTGCCGCGTTATGCATGGACTCTAGGGCTGGTGTGAGTGCAAAAGTGCGGGCTGTGGTGGGTCAAAGTGTGGAACAGGGGGTCAAACTTGGGCACATGAGCGATGAAGTACATTTCCTGCTGCATCAGCAGAAATCGTTGTTGTCAGATTTGCTCTCGATCGCACAGCTTTAGATGCGTATAAATAACTGTCACTGATGTCTGTGTTGGAGGCAACCAGGCTTCAACTTGTTTGCCCTGTGAGTGCGGGCCCAAGTGGGGCAGGGAAGGAGGGCAATTGGCACTGGTTCTAGGGTGATTGCATCCTCACAACGCTATTGTTTAACATTAGCATTAGCATTGAAGCTTAAGTTCCAGGCAGCAACAGAACTCTACCTCTTAAGCGTTTGACCCTGAGCTCTTTCGATCTGTTATGGTTACTTCCAAAGACGATCCCTTCTATATTCATCTCTGGTACTTTTTGTTGCAGTGAAGCCAAAAGGCTATCTGAGCAGAACCCGATCAGTCATCATAATAACACTAGGGATGCCTCAGTCCCGTACTCAGGATAGATATCGGGCCAATATTGGTCAAAATTTCAGAAATGAACATCGAAAAAAAAACAACTATAGCCCGTCCGATCCAATAGCTATTGCTCAACTTAACTTACGACATGCCATAAGCAGGGACACTCTCATGTTGCAGTATCGGTTTCGGACATGACAAAGTTGTATCGAGCTTTGTTTTTTGTTTTTTTTTTAGTTGTTTTAAAAGACTATATGAATAAATTCTGATTGAATGTTTATCCATGAGTTTGTCGTTGCACGTTATGGATCCAAAAGTGTCCAATTCGATTGTTGTATTGGTGCCTTTTTACATTCAGGGTTAATTGTGTCTCTTCAGGATACCCCCAAACATTAGAGACATTGTCTACTGCACCGGTGTCAGTCTGATGGATGAGGACGTGTGGGAGTTCATCTGGATGAAGTTCCACTCCTCCACTGCCGTCTCTGAGAAGAAAATCCTGCTGGAGGCGCTGACATGCTCCGACAACACCTTCCTTCTCAACAGGTACTAAGGTGGACGATATTTATGAACTCCGGGTTTGAGCTTTAGTTGTTGCAGCTGATGTGGTAAGTAAAGAATAGACCATGTGGGTTGTTGTAACCAAACAGAAATCACAGTATTACACAGCCTCACCTACACAGTTTATAGAAGGATTACGATCAAACAGAGACCTATTTAATCACATTTGACAACAGCTAACCGATATTAGCATTACAGTAATTATGTAACATCGGTTTTGCCCCAATGATGCAATGCCTGGGTTTTGCCAGATGGGCTGAAATTGCTTTAAAATGTTATTTTGTACGAACAATGCTAATGTGTGGACTTAGTTTAGTAAAAAAAAAATCGCAATAAATGTAGGTTATGTTTAAATTCCACGACAATCGATATCGATACTAAGTGTCAGTATCGGTTGATTTCAGAATCAGAATTTAAGTGACAACATCAGCATATCGGATATCGACTAAAAGCTAATGTCAGACATCCCCACATTTTACCAACTATAAAACGTATTCAGAAACGGTTGGCTGATTATAATAAATTAATATTTTGGGGGCCTTGGAGTCATCCTACACCCCCTCCCATTTACCCCCGGACCTCACCCCCCCCCCTGTCCAATACAGTGCCACTGCCTAGTTGTATGAAGTTAAGTTTGTCAGGGGTCCCCAGCCACTAGTCCACAGACCATAACTGGATCATGGATCATTTATACCAGAATGCAGTGAAAGAATTTCCATTTTCTTTCGTCAATTTTTCACAGTAATGTCTTTTAGACTCCGATACAAACAGAATAAAATCTAAAAGAGGTTTCATTTTAAATTGAATGATCCTTCAACAGTCTGCGCTGTGCGACCGGACCGCAGTAGCGGTCGGGGACCGCTGACCTACGTAATATACTGCGGCATTATTCCCAGAATTTAAGTTGAAAATTCATAAATTTCCAGGACATTTTGTCCTGAGTCTGCACTCTGCTGCTCTGTTCATTTCACACACTCCTGCTCCGGTTTCCTGAGTCTCAGGTTTATGCTCTTTTTAACGGTGTGAGTTACGATTTTCCAAACAGATTAAATATTTGCCTGTAAAGCTTCACTAATCACCAACATTGATCTGAGCGGTAAAAGAAATATCTGTAAGAGTCCAAATGCTGCCGCCGCTGCTGAGGATGTAATTACGCTGCACTTTGTGGACTTTGGTTCATCCAAGGATCCACCAGGCAGAAAAAAAAATCTTTCTCATTAGCATTTTTATAATCTACATATTTTCTGAGGTTAGCAGGAGAGCGTTTGTTTTTTATTAGCTAGCCATGAAAGACGAACGCCTGCAGGTCACCGAACACTGAAGAGGTGCGTTTTAAAGTGGATAATTTATGTTTTTATTTACGCTTCTGATTAAAAGTCCTGCAGTAAATAGTGAGCGGCTGAAGTAAAGCAGTGAAGTTTTGGCTCACACAGTGTTGACTCCGTGAATTAGGATTCACGACATCGTTAAATAAGTACCTAATGTTGTTCATTCTTTTACTTTTTTTTTTACTCGTCATGGTGACACATCACACCACTGCACACAACCAAATGTGACCTCTGTTTTTAACCCATCACCAAAGTGAACAGTGGGCAGCAGTGTGTGGGGACGGTGCCATGTTCAGAGCACCTCAGTGGTAACTTGGCAGATGGTGGACTCGAACCTGAAACCTTCCAGACCCATGTCTGCTCTTTTAACCACTAAGCCACCACTTCCCTATGGGACCAACTTGGGACCAACCTTAACAGATATTTTGGTTACATTAATTGTGTTGTCTGCCAGAGTTTAAATTGACTTGATTTACTACTAGGCTATGGTTAAAGGCAGTGTTTCCCAAACTTTTTTTTCTAAATGCCATATTTTAAAAGTCACCAAACGATCCAAGTCAATAGATATTATTCATAAACTCCTGGAAAACATGATGCGAGAAAAAAATCTCTTGTGACCCACCTGAGGGTCGCGACCCAGTCTTTGGGAAACAACGGTTTAAAGTATCTCTACTCAGATGTTGCGTTCTTTCAGAGCAGCTTTATTCGATCTAACACGATGCTGAAGGATGACGACCTCAACCCTGAGTTCATTGTGCTCCAGTGTCCATAGCTACTGTTAGGCTTTTAGTCTTAGGCAAATCAGGAGTTGGACCATATCAACTCTTTCCAAGCACATCGGATGATGTGTATTTGTCTAAGAGGGTTTGGCCTGAGGAGATCAACACCCATTTTAGATGTGTGTATAATTATTAAGCAGCTTCGTTTCCTCAGGCGAAATACGTCAAAAAAGAGAGCTGACTGACTGAAAAGTCAAAGATAGTAAAAAAAGATAAATATACTGAAGAAAAATCTTTTTAGAGGGAAGCAATATCGGCCAACTAGCATTATATTATTAGCATAATTTATTACTTTTAGAGGGAAGCAATATCGGCCAACTGGCTTAATGTATGTAGTATTGGCATAACGTTTAGCATAATTATGTAACATCGTAAAGAATTGTTATAGGTTTTTCCTCCGATTATGAAAATCCCCTAACGCAATGCTTTTTCTTCTAAAATTCAATTTGAAGTCATTGAAGTCATCGACCTAAAAATAGTTTTGAGGTGAAAGTAAATTATTGTCATATGTTCGTAGTGTATTTTTCTGTGCTTCAATGTCACTCACTGAGTGTAGCTTCAGCACTGTTATTAAACAGAATAACAAAACGATGAAACTCCTAAACAGAGCCGCTGCCAAAGTGGTCTCACACTCACTCACACCTCCACGAACAGGCACTGCTGCCAGTAAATGCTGGGCAGAACCTGACATTAGAAGAAAAAACAGGCAAGAACCCGGACCGTAGGAGACGATACAGAACGTTGGTGTGTTTGATTCAATGGCTTAATGAATGTAGTGTTGGCGTAACGCACCTTTAATAATCACTACTAAATACACAGAAAAAAAAATCAGAATCCTAACGATCCTTGAGCGTTTTTGTCCGCGTTGTTTTCTTCTAAAATTCGAAAATTTGAAGTCATTGAAGTAGCAGCAGCAGCAGCAGCAACAACAGAACATCTCAGAAAACCACAGACGTGTTCTCATTTAGCTTTAACTGCAGACGCGGTTCTCACAAACAATGAAAACCTACATTGTGCGTGCGTGTGTGGTGCATGATTGTGTCACGTTAGCCTCTTAGCACATACAGCAGTTTTACCTCTGATTGCAGAACTCTGATTACTGTGGATGAAAATCCATATGTGACTGACACACACACACGCACGCACGCGCGCACACACACACTCACCTGCACACGTCTTAGAAAACTGCAGTACAGATACACACTGATTGGTTGCAGAGGAAATGGTTTCAGCACAGAGGGATTGTGGGAAAAGCAAAAGAGGGGGTGGGGGGGGTGGGGGGGAGCGCTTTAATGAAAAGACCTGAGCTACAAACAACCACCTGACATGTGCTCACAAACACCCACACGTGCATGCACACACACAGGTTTCAGAAAAACCATAATTACAGAATGTAAAAGACAGCAAGTGAAGGAGTACAGAGGTGAAGTGTCAACTACTGAGTACTCTGTGAAATACTGTGTAAACGCTCAGGTCGGCGAGTTTTCACTTGGAATAATCCGGATTATGCACCACTGGTCTGAATGGGATGAGGGTAAAGAATGTTGTTTCAATGAGGATTTCTGTCTGATCATGTCAACGTGCGTTCATCGGAAGTTGGAAAGTAATGAATTACATTTACTCAAGGTACTGTAATTGAGTAGTTTTATAAAGTAATTTGTCATTTTTAAGTAATTTTGGGAAAAGATGATTTTATTTCTATTTCACTACAGAGGGAAGGAACCCATTACTGAGTAAAAAAAAAATTGAATCCAGGGAAAAACTATCTGCGTTACCTGAAAGAAAATTGCACACGTGTGCGTATTTCCGACTGTTTTAATGTAGCCAGATAATGTTGAACAAGACACTGGCTCCAGCCTGTCGTTGGATGACGAAGGTTGAGGATATGACTTTGCATCAAATAATTTAAAGTAATTAAGTAACTAAGTAAAGTAATTAAGTAACTTTTAAGTTCAAATAATTTAAAGTAATTAAGTAACTTTCAAATTTCAAATTAAGTAATTTCTTTAACTTCCACTCAAGTATATTTTTAGATGGGTATTTTTACTTTTACTTTTACTTAATTACATGTTTTAGTACTTTTCTCAACCTTCCAATGTTAAACTTAATTCTCATGTTTTTGCCGTTTCCCGTCCAGGTTACTCAACCTATCTCTGACCTCTGACCTGGTCCCGGAGCAGGATGTAATTGATGTAATCATCCATGTTGGCAGAAATCCTCAGGGTCGAAGTCTGGCCTGGAGATACTTCAGAGAAAAGTGGGACGTTCTCAACGCGCGGTAAGACTTAAAGCTGTCGGTGGAAAAATCATCTGAGAGGAAAGGTTCTCGGGTAAACAATAATGGTTCATCACTGTCTGTCTTCAGTTATGGAGAAGCGCTGTTCATGAATTCCAAACTCATCAGTGGAGTTACCGAGTTCCTGAACACGGAGGTAGAGCTGGAAGAGGTGAGAACACACACCAAACACACACACATACAGTACACAACTCAAATAAGTACTTCTGACTTTGATATTTCGAAACCATTGACCGTGGTATCAAGCACGCAGTAAAATTCCTCAATCGCTGCTCTAATACGAAATATGTGCTGTGCGATCTGCCACTAGCGGGTGCGTGAGGGTAGTAAATGTAAGATGGGATTGGGATATAGAAGAGTGTTTACAGCTGCAAAGGTTTGGGAACCGCCGGTCTGAGGTACATCAGAAGACACAATGGTTTACAATAGTACCAGGTATGTACCATAGGTTTTTGTAAGTACTGCAGTATGTACTATATTTCCAAAGTAAATATACCTTCCTAGATAAATACCAATACATAAATATCTAGGAACCTAGTACAAAGATTGGCGTTTTTCAATCTTGGCACGACGTCCCCATGTGGGGTCATCTGGAATTCAAATGGGGTCAGTTGAAATGTCGAGTTATTGATTTAAAAAAATTACTAATAAAAATATTTTTTGAACATTTTTTTTTTAAATTATAATTAAAACACCATACAGAACTGTATTCTTTTGCTTCAATCAAAAATCATCCAACAAAATGTAGGAACATGCATGGACTTATATAAGTATACAAGAATAAAATAGTAAAAATAAATACAGTAAAATACACTCTCTTTTCAGTCTTTTATTTACTACTAACAACTAAAAGATGGTTTTAAATTACTAAAGCAAGCTGGATGAAAAGATGTAATGGCTGAATGAAAATTAGTTGTTTTCCAAACAGAAAAAATAAGGTTTGTGGGCAACGCTGGAATAAAAGGTTTTTTTTTAAAAAAAGATTTTGTACAAAAAAAAACATTTTCTTTCACTTTCTTCATTCTTCTTTTCTTGCATGACAAATACACACGGTGAGCGTGGGCTTTAGTCACAGAGGCCTATTTATGAGAATGAAATGTGAATGCTGACGTTCATCAGAGCAGGGGCAGGATGGGCTTTCTGCTCGCTTCAAAATCAATACTGTGCTTTCAGAGGAGAAGACAAAAAAAGTGTAGCATGAGTCACAGCATCATTGATAAAGTGAACGGCTGAAAGGAAGAAAAAAAAGTCAATGGCTGAATCTTGAGTCAAATATGAAAAATACATTACGATGTGTATTGTATATACCTCCTACATAGTAGAGTAACTTAAATCCTCCTCTACCACATTTACTTGTCTGTTTGATTCTCTGCTCCCAGAAAGTAACATTATAAAACACACATTATCATTTTACAACATTTCATGGTACACAGAAACATCATATATAGTGATGTCATGTATTGTGTCATATTGAGCAGTGCTGGGGATCACCAACTATATTTGTCGGAGGTCCAAATTTTTTTCTGGACAGACGCCCTGAGGGCCGGACACTGAAATAAGATAAATAAATATAATAATAAAAAATAAAAATTTTGTCTAACAATTTTTTTTATGTTTATTTTTGGATCCAGTCGAGGGCTAGATTGGGTTTTCAGTCAGCTGTGATCAGCTAGAAACTCGCCACGGGAAGTAGTTGGCAATCGGAGTGGACGGATATGTCGTCATGCGACGCTATACACGGACGACAGCTTTGTTTACATACATGGGATTGTGCTACATTTACTTACTTTCATTTGTTTTGACTGATGATTTTTTTATCCTCGATTATGATGTTACGACTGTGTTAGCATATGTGAGTGACATCGGTGCAGTATGCTACTTCCGACTTTCAAATTACGTTGCGTGTAAGAACGAAACTCTAATGTAAGTCGAAGACCCCCTTTATTCACCATGGTATTTCCCATTGTACATGGTACATACCAGTAACTTTTGTATGGTATTTTATCATATTACTTTTACTTTACTGTGGTACATACTTCAGCACTTTACACATTACTTTGATTTATTCCTCTGTTCTGTACCTGGTGTGTAACACAATACCATATTACTATTCTATACATGCCACATGGTCCGTACCAGATACTGTTGGATCAGTGGTTCCCAAAGTTTAGGGCGTAAGTGGTGGGTGTCAGTTTCAGCTGTAACCTAGAAAGCTATACCCACTCTAGCCAATCAAACGATGAGGCTGAGGGTTCCGTCTCTGGAATAACATTCTTCACTAATCGGCCGATGTGCAGCATCTGTCTTCAGTTACGGAGCGACTACATTTTAAACAAAACTTCAGTGCATTATAACAATTGTCCTCAGTTACTCCATCACACTACAGCATAAAAGGCGCAGAAATTAGCACTTAAATTCATAATTAGGGAGCTCAGTGTGTCTCTGTGCCACAGCGACACACTTCTTCTCCAGGCTTATTAATCTTCATCAGTAACATTTCATTGTCATCAACATCTCTTCATTTATATTTGCCACATTAATTAGAGGAGAGGATAGAATTTGGAAAATGAGGAAATGAAAGTATTAAAATGTGATGAGGGAAGAAGGATCGAAAGATCTAAAGGAAAGACTCAGGCCGCTCTAGAATCAGGCGTCAGATTTGTCCTGACTCCACTGAACCTTTCAGAACCACATTGAATGTCAGCTTCTCTTTTTAAATTTAAAACTTAAAAAAACTGCAATTATCCTTTTGTTCAATAAAACATCCTTGTCCACTAAAAGACCCTCACCTTTGGTCAGTGAATAAAGAACCTTTGAGGCTAATTACCATTGTTAAAACCAAGGCTACTCTCTGAAATGTCAACTTTAAATGCTGAAAATTTTTCTCTCTTGTTACAAACCTTGAAACCCAGACTTTATTTTCATTTTGAAAGTTTTTTAAAAAAAATAGTTTTTTGCTTATTTTGTAACTGTTATTTAGGTTATGTTTTAGCTGTAGCTATGCCTATTTTTCTTCGTGTTTAGGCTAACCTTTAGAATAAGTATTGCTAATCCTGTTTGGGTTATTTTCCAGCTAACTTTCCAGCTAAATAAATCAGTTATGTGAACTTGATAAGGTTTTATTTATAGGTGACCTTCAGTTATTTTGATCATTTTTGCTAAATTTTGATTTGATTTATCTAATTAGCGATTAGCTTTGCGATGTCTGAGCAATCTTCAAAGCCAGCTTGGCAACTTTTGGGGCTTAAATTGAGCTCTTTCTTCTCTACATTTGTGTATTTTGTGAAAGAGATTTGGGGTTTAATGGTTTCTCACTTTTTTTTTCTGCTTTGTCTTTGGCTAGGTGTTTCACAACCTTAAATTTGACTTCGCGTTTTCCTTCATTTTCTTGCTTTTCTTTTTATCACCTTTTCTATTTATCTCTTTCTCTTGTTTTGTCTATCTTAGCTAAAGGACTTCATTCAGTCCAGTGGAGTTGGGGCGGGGCCTGCATTGCCACGGGCCCTGGAAATTGTTGAGGGCAATGTGCGTTGGCACCGCCTCCATCTGCGACAGTTCTACCAGTGGCTTCGTAAACCTCCCAGCTCCGCTGTCGGCTAAAGGGACACACCTCGTCTTCGACAGCTTGAGTGGAGCACATGTTGGCTGCTAAACTCACAGCTAACTCTCTGTTTACAAAAGCAGTCATAAGAACTGGATTATGGTTTTTCTTTTTTTTTTTCCCTCTTTTTGTCTAGAAAACTTGATTTCAGACTTCATTATTTTACAGTAAGGACATTGTTTTATGTGAAGAAAAACTGAATTTTTTTTGCTACTGTTACTGAAGCTGATGGCTAGCAAACTAGCTAGCAGTCAGAGCAACAAACCTCCCACAATTAGGGGCAATAAAGGGAAGCTGCTACTGTTTTATCAACAACAAATGACCTCTTCGCATAAACTTAATTAATAAATGGATAGGCATTTACTTAAGTCCATGTATTTAAAAAGAACGCGACAACTTCAGATTGAAAAAGTACAACAGAATTTCATTAGTCACTGTAATATATTCCACACCAACACAAACTAAATTTATTGTATCGAATTATAAAATAGGCGGGAGCAAATTGGTGACGTTTTGAGGAGTCTTTCTGAGGAATTTTCTTCTTATAATATCCAGGGGGCGCTATTAATCACTATGCTATCACTATGACCTCAAGATAAACAACTGGATTTTAAATAAGAAACAACATTTAAACAAAAAGAATGGTTGAAAAGGAAACTAAGATTTTGTAAATCAAAAAATGTAATGTGTTGTTGTATGCAGATGATAAAGCATTGTTTTCGGTTGACTATTACAGGCAAGCAAAACTCTGGACTTTTCAAGATGGTGTCTTCTGAGTAATGCCAGATTTTTCAGTAGCCAAACATATTAAACCTTTGCCAATTGTTTTTGTGGCAGCACATGGACAAAATATAACGAAAGGATCAGCAACCACATGGACTGTGAACTTCTAAGTCGGTGAGTACAAAGTCTAAGGTTTGACGTCAGAAGTGGAAACTACTGCCAAAAGTCAGGATTATCTTGAGCATGATGGATTTCTCTGTAAGTATTTTTTTTCTCTCTCAAAGTTTTCAACTGCGAAAGAAACAAACAAACCTTGGGACATTTTTATGCCTGAAGCTGAACTTCCGTGAAACTTGAACTCTTAGAAGTTGTTCCTCATCTGTAAGCTGTAGCCTTGGCATTGATGGAACGGAGCTACGTAAGGTGATTTTAGGATCCCGTCTTTTACACACTGTATGTCTTTGTGAGGATGATAACGGCACCTTTGTCACAATGGCTGACACTGTAACGATGTTTGTGGTTATGTAAGAAGTCAAATCAGTATAATGAAACTAACATGCTATAATATGTACTTTTTTGTTGTCAAATCAGGAGAAAGAAATTTGATTTTATAGAAATTTAAAAAATAAATCAATTTAATCTCCCTGTATGGTAAAATACACTGTAAAATAAAAAAACAAAAAAAAGTTTAAATTTAACCTGTGGATACTGGGGTGGATGAGGATCGTGTTCATGAGAAAGATCTGGGACCAAAAAAAAAATACAGAAATAGGAAGTAACTGAAAAAAAGTCTCTTCCTACTTCCTGATTGCCCCTGCTGTGGTTTCCTGTATTTTCTGAGTAGACATTATTAAAATGTTTTAACATTGTGGTTATGTGTTTTATTCAGTCCAATATAATCAATATATTATCAATATAACATTAAACGTATACCCTAAGTAAGGCACAAAATGTCATCTGGTGGTCCAGAAGCTTTAAAAAGAAATGAAATTCTCATTTTTGTCTAACGTTATTATTTGATGTTTATTTTGGAACCAAGACGGTGGCCAGATCAGGCGGTTCAGGGGGCCGGAATTGGCCTGCGGACCACCAGTTGATGATCACTGGTGTAAACACAATCCAGTATAAACATGGATTTTACAGACCAGTGGCTCCTCACAGTAGATCCCAGCTTGGAATAACTACAAAGACACAAATCGACCACAGGAGGCAGCAGTAGACCAGCACTTCCTGTTTTTCCGTAAGGTAAAATAAAACCATTTTAATTTCCGACCTTGGTGTATAAGAATAATGAAAACAGAAACTTCACATATTTCGCCCTTCGTACACGATTTGAGCGACAAACCAATAATGAAGACCTGATTAATAGCGATCTAGAGTTTCTCGTATCCTGTGTGTGTGTGAAGGGTGGGGGTCGGGGAGATAAATTGTAATGTTCAAAACAAATTGGTCGTTTCCCTGATACAAAAGGAAAATTAATTTGTGTGTGTGTGTGTGTACTAATAGTATTCTGCAGTCACGGTTGATGGATGACTGAATGTCTATCTTCAGCCCTGGGCCTTGAACACACCACTGTTCTATTAATCTGACATCACTACTTCTTCCTGTTGGTGTTGCTGTACACTAATACATTTTTAGTGTATCAGTGTGTTCATGTACACGTCTCTGTGTGTGTGTCAGGTGCTGACCACATTTTCATTTCAGAACAGCATCCCTGGAGCAGTCAGGCTGATACTCCATATATTCATACCTCAGTAGATACTGCTTTTATTCTGACTGTAGTAGATGCTCCTTTATGCATACTGTAGTAGATACCCCTTGTAACCTGACTGTGGTAGATACTCCTCGTACCCCGATTATGGCAGAAACTCCTTTTATACCGTTTTTAGTAGAAACTCCTTCAACACACATTTGAGTAAATACTACTTTTATGAATACTGTAGTAGATATTCCTTGAATTCCGACTGTAGTACAGACTCCTTTTATGCTGACTTGAGTAGAAACTCCTTTTATACCGACTTTGGTAGATACTCTTTTTATGCATATGTTATAAGATACTGCTCTTATGCATACTGTTTCATAGCAACAGATATTCATTTTAATATCCACTTTAGTAGATATTCTTTCTACACAAACTGGTTGAGTCAATACTTTTTTAATGCACAGTCTAGTAGATACTCATTTATGCATACTCTAGGGGATACTCCTACACAAGCTGTAGTTATACACACATATATACATACATATATTGTGTATATATATAATTTATATATATATACACAATATATATACATATATACTGTATACTATAAATACTATACACATATACACGTTTATATATATATAAACATATATATAAATAACATGTACATATATATTATATATATAGTTTTTCACACATGTATGTTTAGAATGACTGTGTGTGTGTGACTTTCTGACACACACTTAAAAATGACCAGAATGACATATTCTCTTATACATTTGTTCGCCTTCAGGAAAAAAAAGTACAAAGAGCACAAAAAGTTTTCGTGACAATAACCTGAAAAACATTGTGAGCTCAGGAACCAAGTTGTTTTTTTTTTGTTTTTTCCTGTTCTTTTAGGGGACACTCAAAGGCTCAATTCCCAAAGCAATAATGTCAAGAAATTAAATGAGCTTTATCGAGTTGTTACCGGGACAAAATATAAAAACCCAGTGAGTTTTTTATAGGGTTTTCATAACCTGCAGGATTATATTAGATTTCACAGGAAAGGCTGGAGCAGTGGCATAAAGCTTCAATAAACAATATGGCATCATTAGTTTGTGCTGAGTTTATACATGTCTTTATGATGTACCTCAAAATACCCTTCTTCCTTAAAGGGGTAATTCAGGATTTTTCTGGATCCGCTGCACAAATCAATTTTGGTAGCAGAGAAAAGCAACTTTTTTAAAAAAAATCTTTCCATATTTCCCCTGCTATTTGTTTTTTAGAAGGGCATTATAATTTTAATTCCATTTCAAACGGAGACAAATTGAGGCAAATGTGTCCAAATCGACTTCACATTGAACATGAAGTGAATATAAGCTCCTGTGTCCCTGTGGGCTAAAATCACTTAGCATCTAGCTTCTAGCTAGCATGTCAGCTCAAGGGGAAAGAGCAGCATATTTCTGCCTGATAACAGGCGCAAACCGGAGTACAACGTCGTCACGCTAAAGTTACCGCTGTGAAACGAGGTGCGTTCGAATACCGTTGGAAATTCGAAAATCCGACTATTACGGCAGTTTAAGCGTTGTTGACAAATTGTTATTACAAGCATAATTCGTTTCATTCGCTCATATTCCTTGACTGCATTTTTTTTCCCATAAGAAATAACAGAAAAAAAATGTATCTCTTCTGGCCCTCTAAAAATCTCCCTTATTAGTGCTAATAATTAGACAATGAAAAAAAAGGGGGTTTTAATTGTTATAGAGACATACAGTACAATACAGACGATACAGTAGCGGCTAATGCAGGCATGTGAGGAGGAAGGGAGAGAGGGAAGAAAGTTATCCCAAACGTAGACACTTTCCGTACTGTACCGTACCTTACACGTACACTACGTAACTCACATATACTTTGAATTAACTTACTTTTTTTTTCTTTTTTTTTTACTTTAGGATGGTACATATCGTGTATGTACTGCGATCATACATGCATGCACCACACTCATATTCCTTGACTGCTACCGTCCTGACCACTCACTTTCTTAGGACTCATCACTATTATGAAGAATAATGCACAAAACCGAGAGAAAATCACGGAAGCGATGCTTACGAAAGTCGCCAAACACGTGAAGTGACAAGTGAAGTGGGCTCGGCCACCTAGCGTCAGCGTCTGTAAGCGTGCTCCTATCTCAATCTTTACTCGTATCTCGAAGCAAAAATGTGCTCGAATGCTTGCTTTTTCTTATCTTCCCTACAATTTTTCACGCCCACCCAAGTGGTAGCACCCCCCCACACACACACACACTTTGAAAACCCCTGGTACAGGTCAAGATGAGTGTTGTGTTAAGTGACTGAAGTGGATTAGTGACCTTCTGAACTTACAGTGATCCAACTGTCAGTCTTTGAGTTTTGTCTCCGACTAAACAAAGCTCCTGTTTTTCTCCTTGGTTACAGCAGCAGTTTTGTTTGGCGCTCACATCAAAGACTGATACCATCATTCACCTGGAATGTATTCACATATTTACTGACACGCTGCATCGATTTCACCTCCGTCAGAGGTGTTGAGGTGGAAACTCACATCTCATCAACTCTGCGGCGGCGGCCGCAGCGATGAAGGAGAAGAAGGAAGAAGAATGGAGTCGTTCCATGTTGACGAGCGGCGCCTCAACGCACCATTAGCTCTGCTTTTGTTTCCAGGTTCTAAACACATAATGGTAGCGTGAAGGATCCGTAATGGCTCCCCCCCAGCCACTCGCCTCCTTCATCACTGACACTTTCTGTTCCGAGCCGCAGTTACAGCTTCTCAACAAAATCGTCTGTCAAAAGGTAAAGAACAAACAAGTCAAGGAGGAAATTTGTTTGTTGGTTTCTTTTTTTTTATTATTATTATTACATTCCTTACGGACGAAGAGAGAGAGAAAAATAAAATAAAAGGATTGACAGAGGAGGGTTGTTTTTGTTTTTTTTTCTTTCCCCGAGGCTGAGAAAAATCAATCATGGCAGCAGATGTGTCCAAACGTGTGTCTGTGGAAGAAGATGTGGAGAAAAACAAATGAACAGATGAGGTGGATACACACACACACACACACACACATAAAAAAACACACAAACACATACAATATAGACTTAGTTGCAGCTGTGTATTTGTGTGTATTTTTGTGTATTTTTATTTTCTCCTTGTTATTCCCTCTGCCAGTCCCCTCTCTAATCAGAGCCTGGCAGAGAGTGTGTGTGTGTGTGTGTCTGTGTCTGTGTCTCTGTGTGTGTGTCTGAGTGTCCATGTTTGTGTGTCTGTGTGTGTCTGTGTGTGTGTCTGAGTGTCCATGTTTGTGTGTGTACATGTGTATGCGCATGTGTGTTTGTGTGTGAGATCTCTTGGAGGTCACTTGGTTGATATTTGGTCGATTCTTGTAAAATCCTACACCAATAAGATCCTGAAGAAATCTCCGAAAAAAAAAAAGTTTCTCAAAAATGACTAAAAATGCACTCATTTGCCTTAAAATACTTAGCTATGTTCATTTCTGTTGTTAAAATTCAGAACAAATATACTTTTTTGGAACGTCAACCTTTGATCACAGTAAAATACTATACCACTAAGATCCTGAAGAAATCTTCATTGTGTGTGTGTGTCTCTCTGTGTGTGTGTGTGTCTGTGTGTGTGTGCGTGTGTGTGTGTAAAACTTCAGAGCAGAAAGCCTGAGTCGACCCAAAAACAGGGAGAAAAACAACAGATTTAGAGCAAAGGAGGAGGGAGAGGAATGAAAGGAAAATGCTGAGGAAGGAGTAAAAAAAGGAGGGATGATGACAGAGGAGGAGGGGGGAGGAATATTAGGAGAGGGAATCAAGGGAACCACATGTGTAGGAGGAGAGGAAGAGGAGAGGAAGAGGAGAGGAAGAGGAGAGGAAGAAGAGAGGAGAGGAAGAGGAGAGGAGAAGGTCTTTTGTGTCCCGGAGACAGCAGAAGTCGGCAGATGCTCCAAATGAAAGACAAACGGAAAGTGAGAGGCTATAGGTGTGTGTGTGTGTGTGTGTGTGATGGTGTGTGTGTGTGTGTGTGTGTGTGTCAGAGCACAGATGT